GGCTTAACGATAAGACAACGATTCCGGCCTGCGGGAAATGACTCACCTTGCGAATTCCACAGATGCAGTAAACAGAGTAGCGACACGCATTCTTCGTCTCTACGACGTTTCCCGTTCGTTTCGTATGCTGAGCGTTTTTCTGAGTCATGATGTAAGATGTGGTGATACGAATATGCATCGCTTTATGTTCAGGGGTGGTCACCTGTCCATAGGATGGAAAAGAGCGCGAAAGTATGAGTGATAGCCCATAAGAATGAGTGATAGCCCGTAACTCGATCAATAAGGTGACAGACCGATTTCGACACATTTCAGCCTGTATCTCAGGGTCCTTCTTCACGTCAAGATAGTTATTTGATAGGTCGTGGGTGGTAAAGTGATTGTCAAGCAGCAGTTGATCGTTGGCACGTTGGAAACGCCGTAACCGACCTATCACCGGTTATAGATCACATAACTGCGTTCGGTCGATTTTCTGCTGTTTTTTCTTATGCCAACCAACATATGAGCTACATGTTTATTGCAGCTTTCATTTTTTTACAGAATTTTCGATTCAGAGCCAATGGTTCATCAGTGTACTACCTTCTTTATGCATGATTAGGGTGTCCAAGCAAAATGAACACGGTGAGAGAAGCTTTACTTGATAGTCGAAGACTGAATTTTGCCGGTATTGGCAATGAAGTGTCGTCTTTGTTCTACACAGTCAAACGATGCAGCAAGAAATTAGTGCTTTAAAAATGTTTTTCATTCAGAGCATGGGAAGAAATGAAAAGAAAACTAAAAGGCTATAAATTAATAAGGTTTTTTCGAGCTACGGGTTTTGGGCGCAACGAAAACACAACAAGGAATTTATTTATTATCACGTTTTAACCATATGGTAGCGATCTTCGCATTAGTGTTAAACAATATTCAGTTCGTACAAAGATGAATTTCTGTTTTTTCGACAGATCTTACTGTAGTTTCTTACTCTATGACATTTTTTAATATTGTCAGTATATGCAGTTCATACTCCTACTTATCGTATAGATTGTAGCAAACCTAATTGTATTTATTTGGTCAGACATTCGGGACACTTATCGTTTGATAAATGAACACAAGAAAATCATCATCTCTGACCATAATAGCACTTGGGTTTCATTGCCTATGTCATAGGAAAAAATTATCAGCTGGTATATAACTTTTCCGTGATTGACCTTGAGAATGATAATATAAAACTGCTGATCGAAAAATCAATGTACATCGAGTGATAATCGACGGCAGTGAATAACATCCGACTATCAAACTTCTATATTAGTTCGTGTAATATATGGAGGACGTGGGAACTACTTTACGGCTGTGTGTAAGTGATTTGTACTATTACATGTAAACCTCTCTGTGTCTTCTGAAGGTTGTCTAATCCGAAGGAAGACAGATGCCATACGGTCTAAATATTTCTAATATAGTCTTTGCTTACTATTTTAATAGAACAGCTACAAGAGACGGCTAAACTTAGTTTTTGAAGCAGAACGAGATGAAGAGTTTCCGTTTGTTCTCATTTCAATGAAGCTGAAGCTGCAAGGTGACTACTTTAGTTTTAGCCTTTACAGAAAGTCACAAAACTGAGAGACAACTACATTCTACAGCTGATATGGCCCACATCGTCTTCTGTAACTGAATTGGCAACATAACTAAGAGCTCAGTGATACTGTATTAATTCCGTTAACCAAACTAACAAGTTCAGTTTCTTAAACATTATGTTATGCAAACAGAAATACCCTCCCCTTTATTTTCTCAACTCCAATAAATTGAACTTTCTTGTTCATTCCAGGTATGGCCCCAATAAAATGTCCCGTCAACGTCTCTTAAATGCTACCTTCTAAAACAAGGCTTCCGACTTCTTCAAAGAACCGAGAACTCGTTTGGTCCTATTTTGTATGAAAGAGCTTGAAACCAAGAGTTTGTTCAGACAATATTAACGTTGTTTGCAAAATTAACTGCGATAAGATTCATATATGAAAAACATATAGATCCCTCAAAGAGGAAATTAAACAGCACAGATGTTGTTGCGATGAGTCGCTGAGAACGTTCTGTCACTGTGACATATTCCAAAAAAAGAACAAGCATAATTTCAGCACTATAGTGGTCATGGTTCTTGACTGCAAAAGACACAGACTATGCCTCCTTATTAGAGAATCCTAGCCCATTTCACTCAACAGGCGAAGGAACCATGCAGCAGTTTTGTTCAGCCTGAAGTTTCCATGTTTCTTTTTAATTTCTCTTCTCTTTAACGCTAAGACTTTGGCCCGTTTACTTTTCTTTCCATTCTTGTACTTTTTCAACTTATTTTTCTGTACTTGGTTTTCAAATTTTTCCCATGACTATAATGCTGAAAATCTTTTCATCACCCTGATGACAACTTCCGTCAAGGAAGCCGAAACACTGGATTAAAGTTTGTGCTTCCATAGCGTCTAAAGCTATCTTTTTGTTAAAGGAGTGAAGAAAATCTTTGCTCTTCTGCCCGATCAAACTACTGTGGCGTCCAAAACTATTGCATCAAGAAATATAATCAATTTATTACGTACGAGAGGCAAAATCAGCATAAATGTTTCCGGTATCATGTGAAACAGCAACATAAAAAGGTTCCTTATATAATTACTTAATTATCCGTAAATTAGGCGTGTTCCAGCTCTTCTGGCTTGATCACACTGCCAGAGGCAGTCATCTTTTTAAGGGGGCAGGTCGTATGAGGAACACATTAGCACTTTTTTTAGGAATAATTTCAACGACATGCACAACACCTCGACAGATTTGCTGTTGCAAACTGCATGCCATTCTACTAGGCAGGTTTATCTCAAGGTATAATAAGTCAAGATCGACCGACTCCCCGTTGTCACCGTGTCATCAACCTACATTCTAGGCTTCATGACATATCCTTGTAGCTATCACATAGACTTGAAACAAACTTGGATTTTTTCGTTACCAGTTTTTACTCTTCTCGTTGTGTGCATACGTTTTTGCTAAATGTATCTAGGCTAATGGCTCCCCAACAAACCTAATCAATTCAACACTTAAGGAAATTGCAGATCTTCTCCCCGTTCTCTCAAATCGAATGTCTTGTTCATAAGGATGTAAGGATGGCGACGAAACCTCTGCACGAAGGGTATTCTAGTACTCGTATTCAGTGGCTGTAGTAAACAGTCTCGAGACATTTAAAAGCAGCGATTGACTTTCTACGAGCTGGTGATACCGAGAACTGCCGCTAAGTGACAAGTTATATGCCGCGCAGTTACAAGCATCAATTTGTGAAGAAACATTTGCCACCGCTGGAATGTCAGACCTCCTTCAATCTTGTGTCTTTCTTTTCTTGAAGTTGATGGTGCGGTGTTCTCCGTGCTGATCTTCGTTTCTGTGCCATCAGCCAGAAGTGCCCTTTTCTTTTAAAGGTCGAGTCTGTAGCCGTGTGATAAACGTGGCGTGTAAAATCTCCTGTTTCCTTCCCACAGAGTTGTACTCATTATCAACCTCAGAAGGAAAAAGGGTGAGTGACATTCACCGGGGCTTGAACTTAGGACCGATCGATTTCTGAATTCGACTCTCTACCGACTGAGCGATCCCGGTTTGAAGCACTGTACGGTAAATTTCTTGCTCTATATCTCTTTCTTGAATATGACAAAGGTTATCTTTGAACGGAATCGTACTGTGGCACCGTACGTTTGTGGAAAACCCAGTTCTGATTGGCTCCAGTATTCAAAATCGAAAACATTAGCTGCTATTTTTGATATCATCCATTCAGAACCGCACAGCTGCTCCAATCCCTTATGTTTTATCCATATATTATTCCTACCAAGCAGAGGAGATTCAGGATTTCGACTTTTTCTCCAGCTCGTTTGCAACCAGAGGACAGTTCCAACTGGTGTAAAGATTTCGAAGAAGTTTTCGTCCTTGACTTTTCTCGTTTTTATCCGTCGTTCTTCACCGTTTATCGGACTACACCCTGGTCTTTGAGTACTTCTTACAGCTGTCTAAGGCCGTTGCTCGTCAGCAAACGTTCATCCTCACTGTACTATTATCTCTGCGATGAGGGGAAGATCTTCGACAGAATTACTGAAACTTCTCGAAGCGAGGTTCGTCACATTTCAAGACGTTAGCTGTTTCTGAGCTGCACATAAACACGCCATTACGGCTTCCCTTGATATGATGGCATTTCATTGATTTTTCATTTTAATTGGTAACGTTAAGTTTATATAAAAGGAAGTTTGTAACCTTAAAAATAGGTTTGTCGAACAACTCCATGATCTGTGGCATTGCTTCTACATGGAGCCTGCATTGGGACCGTTATATCGGTCTGTACCATGTTTTCCAAAATCTGCTCTGGGGTATATAATCATCTGCTTCCTTCACGTTTATCCACACGTATTTGTCTAGCTCACAAAGATGAAATACGAGTTTGTCCGACGAGTGTTCGAACTCATGATATTTCGAGTTCGAATCCGGCACTCTAACGACTAAGCTACCATGAATAACCTAAGGTAATCAATTACTCTAATTCGCTGAGGAGGAAAATGACATGCTTGGAGCATCATTTATAAATTAACACAGACAGTACCATTTCATCGTTTCATTAATTACAGTAGACAAACAGAGTGTAATGATATGTTTCCATGTTATCATTACCGTTGAGATTTTAAAAATATTACTTGAATTTCTGATGTATTATTGCTCATCACGATAGACTTTAATCAAAAGAGGTCACATGCAATTTTTCTGATCTTTTGGATTAAACTGGATTGGTTTTCACGGTTAACGTTTAATGGTTTAGAAACACAATTCAAAGTGATTCCTGCTAAATTTACCATATTATTTATCCTTAAAGTAATAAATAATTTATGATCCTTTTCACAAAATTCAATAAAAACGCATT